GGCGGAATTACCAACACACAAAAACAGATGTTTCTGGTAGTTAAATGTCAGGAATTCAGACTCCTTGTCTGGCATCACCTGGTTTTGATTCTGTATTCATTGTTTCAGGTTAATTTTGCTTAAACTCTGTCCAGTGTTGGAAAGGTAAATCCACACTTCGACCTTCAGAAATGGATAATCATCCTATGCTTAAACATTTTTCCTTTAAATGATTTCTTTCCTCCCTCTCCACAAAGAAAAATAACTGTAAATAGTTCAGAACACTGTACATGTGCACACACAGACATATTTGCAGAAAAATGCCCTGGCAGGCTATGCTGGCGTTTCAAAGGAAGGCAGTGTCTCATTCTACAGACCAGAAATAGGACACGTCGCGGTATAGCAGGATTCTCCTCCTTTGGCTGTGCTAGTACTACTTAACAGTCATGTCTTCCTTCTGAAAGTCCCATTTTGCCAGCTGGTGCTCCTGCTGTGAGCAGTAAACGGGGAGGGATCCTGCTCCAACTGTGTTCGAGCAGAATTTCCACTGACTGCCACGACTGCTGATTTTCAAGCTACTTGTTTCCAACTAATTCACCAGCCCAGGAGTTGGCCCATATTCCCCTTTAACCCCTACTCTGAAAGCAAATGCACACACACAAACCCTGCCTATCCAGGTTTTTCTGAAAAGGCCCTTTTCCTCACAAGGAATAATACTGAAGTCAAACAGTATCTGCGCAGGTACAGGAACCTCCCCCTTGTGCAAATCTTATTGCAGCACTGAAGTCCAAGCTGCAAACATGCTGAATTTATGAAGGGGATGTATAAATTTTCTATTCAAATATTCTTTTAGTCACTATAGGCAAATTTTGAAGACTCTTCAGTTTGAATTTTGAGAATACTGGTCTAACTTTCGTATTAAAATAAACATCAATTAACTATGACCTTAAACATAAAATGAAAAGTCATAAACAAGTACATGATTTTAATGAAGTAACACTGTTCCTAGGCGGTTTTTTACATGATTGCTTAATGTGCCCTACACTGTTTGGTACATGATTTTGTCCACTGCACATATTATTTATAATTTAACAGGTCATTACAGTCTTACTGTAATTGTGAGAATAAAAGCACATAAAATGCAAGAATTTCAAAATAAATGTTATGGTTCATGTTCACAAAAAGATTATGTCATTTAAATAGTACTATGGAGTGTGCAAATCATCATAAACAAGCACACGTGACACAGGGAACAGCCCTGCAATAGTAGCTGCGGTTGACAGGCAGAAGCTGCCTGTCCTACAGGATCCTCACCACTCCGATTATTTTCCTCTCCTTCCCATGCCTTAGTAGGGAAAACCAGCAGTAATTACCTGGCTTAAGCCCAGCAAGCTTTGCTGACAGATGCTTTCTGTTCTCATTGGGGGCTGTTAGCTTTGGAGCCCATGCTCTGAAAAAGACACAGCCCAAGGTGCCAGCTAATGAATTGAGCTGTGCTTTTTCCCCCTGCTCAGGTATTCCCAGCTGATCCAGGCACTGTGAACAGAAGTTGAGCTCAGTACTGTATTGAGCATGCTCAAGATATATCCCCTTCTGCAAAGCTCTGGAGCTCAATATAAGTCCTAGTTATGTACTTCTGTACCCGCAAAATGCATCACCCAGAGTGAACTGCATGGACAACATCTGGGATAACCCTGGGCCAACAATGTGCTGCTGTTCAAAAGGCAGCAATCATCACCCAAGGGCTTGTAACCAGGATATGGACTGCTTTACATAGACTGCTTACATATGGGGCAAGATTCCCTGCCTACTGCCATCGTCAAGGCCTGGCCCGGAGTAATGTCCAGCTTGGGACGATGGACTTCAAATATTGCAAATAAAATAAGGCAAATAAGATCTGAAAAGAGTGCCAAGAAAGGCAGCAGGATAATCATAGGTCAGAGAAGCACAAGCTGTTCAGTACTGAATGAACCAGGACTGTTTAACCTAAAAAGAGCACAGAATTCCCTGAGACATAACATAGCAGCATCCAAACACTGATCATGATCAGTGATCATGTCCATGGGATTAGCAGAAGAAGTAATGAGATCAAACAGCTCTAAGAAAAACTGGAAATAGATATTAGGAGAAATCTTTTCACAGATATGAAAAATACTGCCTAGAGGCACTGCAGAATCTCCATCACTAAAACACAGGTACAACAAATATAGGGATGATATGGAAAGAGTTGACCATGCACAGGGAGCGGCTGATTTCCTGAAGCTTTTCCTGGTCTATTTTCTCTATCTTTAGGCAGTGACCTACTGCACTGTACTTCCAGTCGGTGCTTTGTACAGAGTTCCAGATGTAGCTAAAACTATGAGGAAGACTGGATTACAATTTAACTCTGCATTGATTTTCCTGTGAAATAGTGAGGTTATGCAAAAGGCCAGATTCTTAGGCTACATAATTCAATTTAACCTCACTACCTTGAAAATGGATTAATTCAGTGCAATTGGGCTAAATTACACCATATGGGACTCTTGCTCAGAATCTATGCCACTGATTGTATTTCATCTTCCTCTTTCAACTGACAAGGAACATCGTAGGTCGAAGCCTTATCTTAGGTCAGAGTCTTATCTTAGGTCTGAGTCTTAATTCTCATCTACTTAAACTTCGATCTCTAAATGACAGAACTCAGAAACTTCTGTTTGCCCTTATAAAAAAAAAACTCAAAAAATGGTCTCTATTTTTGTGGTCTCTTGTACAAGGACACATTATTTGTAAATAGTTTTGCACATCTTCTGCCTCTGCAGTATTAAGCCACATTTCAGTATTTGCTTTTCTGACACCTCCGGTTGAGACTCAGGGGAGAGGTGACTTAAAGAACAAAAGAATAAAATAACTTTGAAATGTCAAAGACACGATGAACTCTAAAATGTCGAAATACATATCAAACATTGCAATGTCACCTTTGAAGAGTTCTGAATTTTCCCAGCTCAGTAAGAAAGGAAGCACAGTTGTGAACCCAGATTTTTCCAGGATCTATATGCAACACCCATGGTATTCAAAACAATCACTGCCAACCAACAGAGAGAGAATGAACATTTACAGATTACTGAAATCACAGTGGCATTAACAAGTTCATATTGCATGAACACTGGTTCAATAAAACAGCAAAGCGTTTTTTGAAAATTCTAGCAAAGACTCATCAGAAGACAAAACACATCAGGACTCTGGAAATTCCCACAGTGTGTCTAAATGCAGCACTCCATACAAAGATATCCAAACCTTTAGATGTTTCTGATAAAGTCATAACAATCACTGAACACTCAAGGCTTATCCAAGACATTGTTTACTGTGTGAAGTCTATCTGTGTTCATACAAGTGAGCATGAGAGGAGCTACATTCTGAAAACAGAAGTGCCAAGAAGCACAGTGAAGAGATGTTCAAGCTGCCTAGGCAGGTTTAGTAACCTGGGGCACTGCCAGTGGGAAGCAAACAACCCTTTATTGCAGCTGGTCTGATTCTGCACCGAATGGATGACTCCAGTACGTCTTTACCACCCACGACTGCAGAGTATGACATGCTAAGTTCCTAGAAATGTCCAACAAAAAATTAGCATTAGTTGACATATGTATTAGATTTAATTCTTGCCTAAAAACTCGGCTTCCCTGCACCACAGCATCTGATGCTGAGAGTCAGGTTTGCTGGCACAGTCCTGGTCTCAGTGGATCAGTCAGCATAGATTGAACCCAGCTGTCTTCAAAATGTCAGGTAAGTGTGATATTCACATACAACATAAACTGCTGCTATATAAACAAGCCTCAACATTACACATCTCTTAAAAGCAGTGTTGGACCAGTTACATACTTGTTTTATCTGAGCAGATGTCAGCATCTGCTTTAAGTAGAGAGAACTAAACTATCTGTGTTCCTTCCCCAGCCATTGCTCTAGTGAAAGGGGAGGAAGAACACTGAGTGTCAGATTTTTCAGTGGCATTTTATACCCGAGCAGAAAGACAGATGTTTCAATCTGGACAGCCAGTCTCCTTGCTAAGCTGTTCACCCTTACTATTAAAATTGATTTGCACAAGAGTACATTGCAGCCAAAGCAAGCAAGGCAGTCAATAAAGAGTAGGCTGCTCACACATGTCTCTGCACTTGGCCAAGTCAACTACTGATGAATGGGTCATCTTTTGTCAAGCAACTGTAAGGAATCAGTAAAGAAATAATTTGTGGTTCTGGAACAGCCCTGCTGACAGACAGACCTTCTCTTGTCCTTTTATTTTCCATCAGGAGTCTGCTCCATCCACTGGGCTTCAATCAAGCTCTCATAATAACAAAAGAAAATTAGGAGAATGTCCTGGTCTATCTGAAAGATGTATGCTGACAAATTAAAAAAAAAATCTTCAGAAAATAAATGTATAGACACTGAAGCAGTGGCATTTCCGATTAAATCAGACTGAACAATTCAAATATAAGCAAAGAACAGTAATTCAACAAGGAGCCAGGTTGGAACCAGAAATGACAACTGCACTATGACATGTGGTGATTCTCAAAATACTGCAGACCACTTCTTAAAAGACAAGATATTTCCCAGCATCACACCTCTCCTATTAGTCCTCTCAGTGTTCTCAGCTCCTTTTATTTTGCTCTCCTCACCTCAACATGTCCAATTTTCTTCTAATTTCTATTTGCACAAAAGTAACCCAAAGAAGCCTCAGGTAGGTCGAGGTTCCATTTTGCTGACTAACAGATGAAGAGCTGTAGGGGAGAAATCTTTCCAACAGACAGGGAATGGTCGTATCAGATGAAATTTGTATCTGATACTTTAGAAATCCGGTGCCAAATTCCCATCTCCATTCACAGTTTACAAAACCAGAAGAACAAATGACACCCGTGGGAGAAATATTCTCCATCAGGAAGTGCATGGAGATTATATAGCAGCCTATACTGATCTCTCTTGCAGGCCTTGGCATAACGTCCGTCCAAGGATAAGAAATGAGGAGCGACACTTAGGTCTAAGCTCGCAAGATTGCAGAAGCTGCTACCACAACATCACCCTTGTTTTTAGAACTATATTCTAGTGCTGGAAATATAATTTCAGTGCTTCTAGCACACAGGAAACTGTATTGCTGGAACAGCTATAGGACAGCTATAACATCTGGAAGGGTAGTGCTGAAAGCTCTAAAACAGGGAGAAGTTACAGGAGGCTTGTAGGCTAAACAAACGAGGCTGGATATGCACAAAGAGAACAAAAGATAACGAGCACTGAAGGGTTTACTCCTCTACCCAATCGGCAGAAAGGATTTACATCAGGATTTACTCCTCTACTCAATCAGCAGAAAGTGCCATTTCAAAATAAACATTTTTCAAACACTGGCACTAATCTCTTGCTCTCAAAGATGAAGGGAAAGGCTGATCCATTTGTTACAAAAATTACCTGAAAAAGGACAGTCTAAGTTAATGGATAATTTTGGGAAGTATTGCACTAAATGGTTGAAATTTGGCATAAGAGAAGAGAAACTAATGATAAAAAGTTAGAGACACCTTAAACTATCAAATTCAGGTTTTCTCCCTTCAGCTAGTTTATTGAAAGTTGCATTTCCCACACCGCTGAGCTGCCACACTGCTATGCCACTCATGACCACAGCAGTAAAACTGTAGGACCAGGCCACTATAATTCTCTTTAAATAGGTCTCAGATATTTCGTTTGGTCTGGGTCCAGGAGGTTTGCATCTTCCCTGGGGATGAACAGCACTGAGAATGTCAGTGACCTTATGAGCCACATTTCATTAGAATTAAATTAAAGGCATCATTTGCCTTTCTTTAAAGTTCTATTTCCAAGAAGTGAACAACCTCATAAGCAATTCTTCTGAAGATGAAATAAAGACGTCTGTTGTTATACAGCCTTCTCCAGAAATATTACTGAGCAGGAGTGAATTACAGCACATGCACTCGCATTCATTCCTTTGGATGCACATTTGTTTGTGGAAGAATGGGCTGTATGTATTGGCAGTAAGTACTTATCTGTCCTGCCTACACTGTACCAGTTCACTAAACAGATTTAATTTGCAGTTTCCTCTTAGGTATTTATGTTGGGAATTTTGGTTTTAATAATAGGAGTCTCTTGTATACATACACACACAAAAAATAACTGCTCTTTAATGACACTACGTCAGACAAATGCACTTTCTATGAATATACCATAGGAAAAATGTCCTTGAACATCTCAGATAAAAAATGCCAATAAATTGAATTTATGTCTCATTTAATCTGCAATGGAACAGTTAGTACTTAAAGGGTATATACACTTCCCTTGGTCCCTTTCTTCCTGAGAAACTTTCAGATGCTGAAAATCAATTCCTTTTGTCTCCTTGTTATTCATCTGCTACACATTAAGGAGAAACTCTGGGCATTCAGTGATCCCACAATGGTCTTTCATCTCCAGAGAAGCCTGGTATGAATTAAAATCTTACGCTCCCTCAAATTATAGATGCATCCTGCAGCATGCCACTGACTTATCCGCTCATGATTTCTGCCATTTCTTCCACCATGATGCAGATAGCTAATAGGAATCTTTCAACTTAAGTCGCTCTTCTGCAACACTGCCATTTAGTGCTTTCACAGGAGTACACAAATATGCATCCACATAGACCAGCGTGCTACACATCTATTCTTTCTCTGACTTGCTGCACTGTAGAAATTAAGATTTAGTTTTACTAAATTCAACACCTTAATACAAGAGCAACAAATAGTTTATTAAGCTAATATTCTATCATTTCAGTGGCCTTGAGAAATTAAGACTATATACAAGACATTTAAAAATAGCAGGTAGTAGATATGATTTTTTGTCATGTCATGTTTCAGCACTGGTAAAACATACAGTGCTTTTTCTATCCCAACTCTTGGTTATTCATGCTGCTGTTTGTCTCATACCACACGGATTCAAGGCTTCCACTTCCAGGTTTTTTAAAAAAAATGGGCTTAACATGTTTATTCCTACTGTATTCTTTGTTGCTCTTTCAGTCCTTTTTTTTTTTCCCTTCCATATCCTGCTTGCCTACTTCTCAACTAAAAATATTCCCAGAAGCCAAAGGAACACATTCTAAGCAAGGTAACTTACACATTCTGACTCCCATGAGTCTACATGCAATGCATTTTTCAGGTAAGCCTCTAGCTCTATAATCTCTATAACAGACTCTTTCTTTATTTACATTAAATTTCACTGTGAAATATTTCCCAAGAATCAATCAGGCTATCTATTTAACATTGGTAATTGAAGAGCTTTAAAATCATAGAATCGTTAAGGTTGGAAGGGACCTCTAGAGGTCATCTATGCCAACACCCCTGCACATGCAGGGTCACCTAGGGCACGTGGCACAGGACTGCGTCCAAGCGGGTTTTGAAGATCTCCAGAGAAGGAGACTCCACAACCTCTCTGGGCAGCCTGTTCCAGTGCTCTGTCACCCTCACTGTCAAGAAATTTTTCCTTAAGTTCCT